AGAGAGAGAGAGAGAGAGAGAGAGAGATATGTATGAGGGAGAGAGAGAGAGAGAGAGAGAGAGAGAGAGAGAGAGAGAGAGAGAGAGAGAGAGAGAGAGAGAAATCTGAAGCAGACTGGGGCTGCCCTGGTCGAAGGATAAACACAGCCTTGCGTGCTGCCTTCCAGCTGTACAGCTTTCGGTGCTCTTGGACGCACTCACTCTGTAGCCTGGGTGTCATCCACAACAGGAGGGACGTCCACACAGTAGTAGTGGACCTTCACTTCTTCTCTACGTTCCTTACCTTCCTCCTGCGGAACATGCATTCATGCCATTTTATTTTTATCGCGAGAAGGATTCAGCCGTCCTCCCGGTCTCCCTGTCGACCGTGACTTCGAACCTCGCGTATCCACGATTCGCAATCGTGACGCACACAGACAGATACATCAAGTTCTGCAGGAGAGGTTGCGCTGAGATTCGCCCTCGCTAACGCCCAAAAATCTTCAGGTAAAGGAGGTTTCCAGCTGAGCGACCCGGCGGGGCGCCCGAGGATGTTTTGGTGTTGTTGTCTTCACATGAAAAAACGTTCCGATCTCTCTATCCAGTTCCTCCAGCTGTCCGTACTGATCAAACCCTAGACGCGGTCGATTCCCGTTGTCACCGGCTAACTTGGATTTGAGTTTTAGTCTAGTCGGCCAATTATTGTCGGTTGCTGTGGCTAGCTATTGCCGGCGGCCGTCAGTCCTTATGCATTCATCATCTGTTCTTCCACCCAAAAACAATTGTCGATTCCGGCTGGGAAGAAAGGAATAATAATACTGCTGTATGTGCTCATTCATTCTCTGCGGCGCATTGTTCGGTTCGAAGCTGAAGGCATCCACCGACAAGGCCTCCTCTCATTTTTGTTGCCCCTGTACGTATCACCACCTGCGGTACGCTTGCCTCTGGTTTTCGCACGTATGCACCCATCCACACATACATCTCCTATTGCCAGCCAGGCACAGTACACGAAAGAGGACACGAAGGTAAGGGAGCCACGAAAAGGCCTCCAAACAAACATTAACTGAGCTACATCGATATCTCAAGCTATCCCAACCGATCCGCCCAAGAGCGAGAAACGGCATCAAGATGTACACGTTAAGTTCCTTCACACACGCAAGAAGAAAAAACCAGCCAGTGATACGCATAGAATATGTACAATATATCTTAAAAGCTCTATTGTATGGTGTACGACTTCGGCAACCTTTGCCAGCAGCAAAACGCCTCTGTCGAGTCTCGGCGGGAACACTCGTCTATCCACCGAGAAAACAACACAATTGGCTATGTACAGACAGACGTGTAGACCCGGGTCCATCCACCCTTCGGCTTCAAAGCTCATGGCTCCGCCAAGGCAAAAAGAAGAGGGTCCAACTGGAGTGGCGGCGCGCCTCGGCTCTCCCCGCCCTCTACCACCCCACCCCATCCCCCGGGCAACGCAGCCGCCGCTGCTGATGCAGCTGGAGGGCGGAACCTCCCGAAGCAGTGCTTGAGCGGGCTGCGGTAAGAGTTCTCGTGCGCGACGCTTCCGGAGTAGGTCCGACATCTGAAGGCGCAGTGGGCGAAGGCCAATTCTCGCGCGTCGCGTTCTTCTGCTTCCACTTGTTGGCCGTTTTTTTCAACTCCTCCTGCTTCCGCCGCCGCAGCCGAAGCCCGGAGTTGACGCGGGGGCGGGGGTTCTCTCCCGTTCGCCGCGTCGTTGTTACCGGACCCTAGGAGGTCGCGATAGGCCGGGTGTCCCGAGAGCGCGGCTGACGCCTGGATGGCCTCCCGCTCCTCCCCCCGCTGGGGGTTCTGGCAGCACGACACACAAAACTCGTACGAGCTGCAGCACGATGAGAAAGAAGGGCTGTCGTTGCCGCCGCCGTTGCTCCCGGAGGGGCCGTCTTCTCCCACGTCGCAGCTCCAGCACGAGAATGGCGTCGACAGGGCCTCTTCCGGTGGAACCCCCCCCCCGCCGCCGCCGCCGCCGCCGCCGCCGCCGCCGCCGCCGCTGCCGTGCGCCAGAGCCGCCAGCTCCACGACCACCACTCCCTCTCCCCCGCGGCGGGTCTCCGTTGATGTCGTCGTCGGGACGGAACGTGTCGCCGCGGGAGGACGCTTGTGCTTGTCGTCAGCCGCAGGAGGAGAACTGGCGGCGAGATCGCCGCCGCCGCCGCCGTCGCGCGGCGGAAGCAGCGGCAGCGCTGGCGGGCGCGCGGCGCAACACCCCGGGCGGTGGCGGACATCATCATCGTCGCCTTCCTCTACTACTAGCTCCGCACGGTGACACACCCTCCCTTCCGAGTCCGCCACGAGCGTAGCCCCCTGAACGGTGTTTCGACACCGGTAGGGATTACTACTGTTCTCTCGCCCCCTCCCCCCCCGAGTCTCGCCTCCGCCGCCGCCTGGCACGGCGCCCGCCGGATCAACAAGGCTGCTCGCTTTCCGCGCGCCGCCGGGCAGCGCCGGTCCAGACGGCAAGCCTGACGGCCCTCGCTCTACCAGCAGCACGGAAGGGATCGCGTCTGGGCCGAGACTCACGGCGGGGCGGCGGTGCTTATGGCGATCGGCATCATCATTATCATCATCACCATCGTCGTCGTCTCTATCAGCGGAGCCTGCGCCGGAAGAATGCAAGTATCCTGGCGCGGACGACGAGGACGGCCAGGACGAATGCGACGACGACGCCCGGGCCAGCAGCCGAGCGCTCGCGAGCACCCCGGCGCCGCACGCCGCGAGCACCAGCAGGAGCAGCAGCGCTCGGCGCCGGCTTGCTCTACTAGAGACGGAAGAAGCCAGCAGTCGCGGGACGAGAGCCGCTAGGCCTCGGCGGGCGCCGGGCCTCCTCCGGTTCCGCCTTCGCTGCCTTGCGACGGCGACGGAGGAGGTAATAAGTGTGCGCCGGCGGGGCAGGGTCGTCGCCGTCTGACGACCTGCTTCTTCGTCCATCTGGTTGATGCTGCTCCCCCGGCGGTTGTCGAACAGCCGGAAACGAGGGGTAGCGTCCATCGCGAAAGACGAGCGACCAAGCCCTCCGTACAACCGTGTCAGCCGCAACTGGAGGAGGAAAGCAGTATGATGGCAGCGGATGACACTCTCGCTAATGCTCCGGCCTGGATTTCCGGGCATGTGGGTGGGAAAAACAGGAATGGCGGCGTACATATTTTTTTATTTTTCTTAATATGACACCACGGAGCCATCTCCATCGTAGAAAAGAGTCTGAGACAAATTAGCAATGGATTCATAGCGTCAGAAAAGTACCTGTATGTCTACGATTTCCCAGACATATTTGAAAAGTGCGGAGGGATACTGCTGTAGTCTACGTATCCAACATCTGCTTTGTGTGCACCACCACCCGATGCAATTGGGTCATTGGGATCCGCACTGGATGAACGGCTCGACCATGCGTCCACAAGCGCAGAGTGCAACGTAGTCTGTTCCTCCAGCATCATCTGGCAGCCGCCCCCCCACCGTGGTGCAAATTTGCACCATCTCGTGGCGCAATAAAAGGTAGGGCGGTATTGTCCGGCGTGGTGACGAGTTTTCCTACTGATCTACACAAGCTCAACTCCATCAAGCGAAACCTTAGACATAAGACATACGCATCGCGGGATACCTTCATCTTGGAGGTGCACCTCGTTGTGAACGACTAGCCAACAGGCACACAGTCACAGGGCCTAGAGATCCTGCGAGGGGGCTCGCAAACAGGACAATATAAAAAGTGCCCCGCCTCACCCAGCCACCGGGACACCAGCAAAACCGGGACGGACGGCAACACACACAACCGACGGACCGACCTGTGCACCCGCTGACAAACGCTGATACCACCCAGCCTGCAGCTGACAGAGGGAACGACAGAACGAGCAAGCCCTAGCCTCCAACCGACAAATATGACGAACAGGATCTACATCGGGCACCTTTCCCCGTGAGTCTCAGCCTCCGCGGCGTTTTTTTTGGCTGCCGCAGAGCGTAGTGGACGGGTCTTCGAATCCCTCTTTGGTCTGATCTCAGGGAGAGTTGTAAGGGGCTGTGGGAAGGGTGAAGGGGTATGAAGCCCCTAGGGACTACACGGCGGCCTGTGTCGGGGGCGATCGCGAGAGTACCCCCTCGACAGCTTGGATGTTCGATAAAGACCATCAAACTTTGGGCCAATTCTTATTCTTCACAAGGTGGTCCCAGCACGACAGGCAGTTTACAACTTGTCGTGAGATGCCTATTCTGTGTCGGTAGTAAACTGCGAGCGGCCCCTTTGCGAGCAGTGCCTTTCGCCCACATCAGCAGGGCCGATGTTCGACTGGTGACCTCACCGTGCACCTCTGCCTTGCGTGCGGTAGCATACACACGGAACAAGCAACAAGCAAGTTCGTTTTTGTGTAATCGAAGCGGGGGAATTTCGCTCCTTTCAGTTTTTTTTTTTTTCGGCAGAGATCGGTATTAACATATAGGAAAAATCAAAAGGCCCTGGGGTATGTACCTAAATAGAGTGCATGAGATACCACATCCGTTTTGGGCCAATTCAAAAAGCTCAATTACTCCATCACGAAGAGGATGACAAAATCAAACGGTACGTTATCGGAAATAGGAAAGTCCTCTACAAGGCGGTTCCCGCAGCCATTTTCGGGCACGGTCACTACTGTTTTTGCTGCAGAAAATGGGCTCTGAAAATCGGTCCAAATTGTATCTTGTTCAATTGTGCAACCTACAGCAGTACGGTTACGCAATACCCCGCCTCGCCACCACAGGTTTTATCTTGCCTAGGGTTATGGCATGCGTGTGCTTAGGATACATCTAACTCCGCCTGGCACGCTGAAAAGGGGCACCCTCATAGAGCCGTAGCGGAGGGTACAGTAGTGGACATACGACCGCATTGAAAAACGCTTTGGTGCATCTGTTGGGGAGTCTCTTTCATGCACTGCTGTTCTTATACTGCTGTTCCCGAAATGTTGGTATTGTTCTGGCACTGCTGTTCCCGAAGGTGCGAAAGGGTTAAGATCTACAACCCTGACCCGGCATATCCAGGGCTCTAGGAGACGTTGGGGGGATTCGTATACCAACCACGAACAACGAGGCACCAATCCCCCTATACAGCAGTACTATCGCTCGATTCCTTTGGCGGCCTATATCCAGGACTCTCGGAACACACTTTCACGAGATACACGACAGGCCAGCTATGAATGAGATGCCGCACAGCGGCAGTAACATGACACACAAAGCCCCATTAGTCTTTGTCTTTCGTGGGGCTCACAGATCGGATTTGTCGGACTTCGTCCCGTACCTTTTCTGTCAGGCACACGCGGGACAGGGACCTCGACCGGGCGTTCGGCAGATACGGCAGGATCGAGGTAAGCACAAGAATGATGACATACCGTAGAGTGCGGAGAAACAACGTGGAGAAGGGAGAGAGAGGGAGGAGAGACCCAGGCACGCTAGGAGGTGGAGTCGCGCAAGGCGGCGCAGCCGCGATTAGGCTTCCCACACTTGCTACCAGATCGCTATTGCTCACCTTGGCTGGGTTCGGTCGTGTCTGCGTTTGTCGTGGTTTGGAGCTGCTTTCTTGAAAGCGCGTTTGTAGTCGTGAACAGACGCAAATGGAGGGAAGCACCCTTCCACATTGAAACAGAAGGTAAACGAAAACACCGCCCGGAGAACGGCGGAAAGAAAGTGCTACCTCCCTCCCTCCTGTGTGACCCGGGTTGGTGCATAAAACGTTTACTCACTACCGTACCGAGAGGTGTAGTGACTGGCTCCCCGAATACATGTGCAAGAAAAGAGTAAACCTGGTTTGGCTCCCCTATCTTGTTGCTGGCATCTTCCATGTAATTTAACACCGCTGCTGCTGCTGCTGCTGCTGCTGCTGCTGCTGCTGCTGCTGCTGCTGATCCCCCGTCGGGGTTTGTTGGGCCCCCCCCCCCCCTTCTCGATTTTTGTTTTTTTATGTGACATTTTCGTCCAGAAAATTGATGTCCGGATGGGGTTCGCCTTCATCGAGTTCGAGGACCGCCGCGACGCGGAGGACGCTGTCGCCGGTGAGATAATAATAACACTGGCAACAAGCACCTACATTTGTATCACTTCTTGTTAGGATTTTGCGTTGGACGCGCACACGAAACATGACCTTCCTCCTGTTTGTGTGACCGCGGATAGTGCGCATCACTCTTGAGAAAAAGTGTACGGTGACCCTGGCGCGGCGCCCGGATAACAGAAATAGACGGGTCGATGCCAATTAGACCCTATCGTTTGGTCATGATGCATTTTTGATACCCGTGGCTGAGGACGACCGACATCCACGAGGCTGCCTAGCTGGTGGCCTAAAGCTCTATTGTAGTGAGATATGTTAGCTTTTTATTTTAGACTTTTTTGAGTCAAGCGATGCCAAGCTGTGGCTTTTTGAGTCTAGCGACTCCGACATGAACGTTGCGAACCAGCATCAGCCTCAGCAACATTCGGTGCTTTGTCCCGCACCGCAGAGCAGGGCAGCTGTTGCCCTCCACCAGCGGTAAACGCTGGAGATGAAGTTCGGGGAGGCGTGGCGCACGTGAAAGATGGGTAGCACCCGCTCGTACCAAAACGTTCAGAACAAGGGCGTAGCTTCCGTACCAACGGACGAGCCGATACTTAGTAGGGTGTGCCTCGTACGATTGGTGTGCTCGTGCTTCTTTCCTTTGCATCGACGGCTCCACCCAGCCGTGTGTCTAATCTACCTCTGCTGCCTGTGGGACGCGGACGGTGTTGTTGTCCGCAGAAATGGACGGCCGCGAGTTCGACGGTGCGCGCATCGTCGTCCAGCCCGGCCGCGGGCACCGCCCCAACGGCCCCAAGTTCGCTACCCGCCGCACGGAGCACCGCATCACCGTGGAGGGCCTTGACTCCCACACCAGCTGGCAGGATCTCAAGGTGTGTGTTTTGGTTCGTGTGTTCGTGGGTGGCTGTAGGTGTTGTGTATCCTCTGTGTACACGTGCGTGTGTTTTTTTTTTTTCTACATGTACACAACAAATCCATCTCTATTCACCGATGAGAGTCCAAGATAATCTTGTTTTTTGTCGGTTTTGCTTGCTGGGATCGATGCTGCTGTATTTTTTTTTGTTTTCCCCCCGCCAAGTCGTAAGCGGGGACGGACAGGAAGAAGAGCGAGGCCGATTGTTGTGATTATCTATCGTCTGCGGGTGTCCTTGCATATCATTCTCGGTGGGTTCATGCGTACAAGAATGCGGCTCTTTGCTCGCGACAAGCGCTGCTGCTCTCGCGACAAGCGCTGCTGCTCTCGCGACGAGCGCCGCTGCTGCCTGCTTGTGCACAGGAAGCGTGACTCCCCGCGTGTGTTTGCTGTGGTTATTCCCTTGTACCATTTGCGTCGACCGCGCTAACCGGCTGACCAATGAAAACAAGTCAGTGGCGTGCGACCGTGTGTGTCGGGCCTATTCAGCGCAACAACAACAAAAATATTGGTCACGATCTCTGAAACGCGTTCTCGCCGTCGCTTCGCAAACGATCCCCGCCGACGCGATGTCTCTCAGGACTTCGGGCGGCAGGCAGGCCAGGTGCTCTACAGCGATGTCTTCTTCCGACAAGGCCGCCGCTGGGGTAAGTGGCTTTCTGGACACGTGGGCGTACAGCGCACGCGGGTTTTGTTTTATTGTGAACCGAGTTCGTGGGTAGGTAGCTTTTTGCTGCGTTGGTGAAGGATCGGGACTGCTGCTTCTGTATGTGTGCAGCGAGATTAAAGAGGCAGGGTTGTTGTGGGTTGGTTCAGTGTCACTCAAAAAACTATTTTTTTTTTGTCAATATTTGTGTTGACTGAGAGTCCTGGATGGGATCTATCTCCCTAGTTACTGACGTGAGTTTTCCCGATCTTTTCCGCCGAGATGAGCGGCGCACCATACCGTGCCGTCCGTAAGTGACGGTTTGAGGGCGTCGGATGCACCTCTGTAGATAATATCGTTCGTGAGTGAACGCCTCCCAGGACCGACCCTTGTTTCTGGCAACTTTTCTAGCCGCTGCGGTAAAATGGTGACTGATTCGAAGAACCTGGTCGGTGCAGGACGCTGACGCCTGCCAGGTACGTACATGATAGCACCCCGAGAGGTTTTCATGTATTTCGTAGATGAAGTTACAGCTTGCCGAGGACCTTCCTAGCTCTGTCGGTTGTATCCTGTCTTTTTAACAAGCTACAAGGTGCGCACACAAAAGCAGCTCTCGATGAGGCGTGAAATGCACGCCGCGCTGAAAATTCGTTGCATTGCGCCCCGTGATCTTATTCGTCCCGTCCCATGGCCCATCTGTCCCGTCCCGTGATTCATCCATCTGCACTATGATGGCCTGCCTCTCTCAGGGGTTGTGGAGTACGTGTCACGGGACGACATGAAGGCGGCCATCCGCACCCTTGACGACACACGACTCGGCGGGAAGTACATCCGCGTGAGGGAGGTGAGATCCACGATCCGTGCAGCACATCGCCGACAACAAGACGAAGGGAGCGCGTGTTTAGTAGAGACTTCTTGCTCTAGGGAAGCAGCGCGGCGGGTTGTGTGCGCAGAGACAAGCGTGCTGGACTGCTTTGCCCGTACGGGGAGGCAGCGTGAGAGGATTCTTCCGTGTAGTTTTATGTTGTTGAAGAAGGAGAGAGCTTGGTGAGCATGCATGATGCCTTGCACCCTAGCATGTAGCTTTCAACCACCTTGGTTGAACCCCAAAGTTTTGGTTATCGCAATTTATCACCCCGTCCTTCAGCCCTGCCGCACTATTTGCCTCTACAAAACGTTGCTTTTTTTCGCATCACCCATGTACCCTTGCAGGAAAAGATCATAGAACAACACGTTGTCCTTCTACCCTGCGGCACGTTGTTGTCTCCTCCCAAACCTGATTTTTGCCATCACTTCTTGAATTTCGTGCGTATGCCGCGCAGGAGAACAGCGGTCGCGACAGCCGCTCTCGCAGCCGCTCCCGCAGCCGCTCCCGATCCCGCCGCCGCTCCCGCAGCTACTCCCGCTCCCGCTCCCCGCCCGCCCGCCGGCGCGAGCGGTCGCCGTCGCCCGATGACCGGGGACGGGGGCGGGGGCGCGCCCGCGACTACAGCCGCAGCCGTAGCCGCTCTCCCGCCCGCCACAGGTGAGTGTGTTTTCGAGTTTCATCCACGTACTCATACCACGACTTTGGTTGTCGCCTCTCCAGTTATAGGAGTGAGTACATGGGTAGTAGAAGACGCGAAGTGCGGACGATGCATGTTGATTTTGGAGGACTCATGACCAGCTAACCCTCAAATCACGTTCTTTGCGTGCTTCGTCCGGAACCGAATTTCTCTGTTGGCTTTTCTTGCCGGGCAGCCGCAGCAGGAGCCGTCACTCTCGCTGAGACTATTATAGTGAGAGAAGAAGGGAGCGGGGAACGGACAACATGAGAGCAGACAAGAGAAGAGGAGAGGAAGAGGAAGACTCTCTGGAGACTGTCGTTTTCGATCGATTGGTCGGGTGCTCTCTTTCTCTTCTTGTTTTGTTGCTCTTTCTCCCTCCTCCCTTCTCTCCCTCTACAGTAGTGTCTCTCCGTCTTTTCTTCTTTCCTGCTTCGTGGTATCTACTGCTGTATCACAAACGCCTTTCATCAGTTTTGGATTCGTTTCTGAGCCGCTGGCCTATTTCGGCAAAGGGTCGGTGACACACCACCAGAACCATCAATCGCGGCTCGAATCTTGTGGGAGGGAAGAGAGGGGAAGAGGAAGCACTTGTTTGTTTGAGGAAGGCCGGCAAGTCGGCTTGTCCATGACATCCTCCGGACAACCTAGCGGATCGGGCCGGCTCACCTCTCCCGCACGGGTCCCAACGAATGAGGCCAGGCGCTCGACCGGCAGTGCCTAAGGAAGACGATGGTGGAAAGTTTAGGCTCTTAAGGACGGGATGGACGTGTCTGGATTGCAACGGACGATTGATGACGGCGGGGTGAAAAAGCTAAAATGGCGTAAGTGAAATTCGTCGGATGTTGTATGCTGCCGCCCGTTGTTTCGACCCCGGTTGTTGTTTTTTTGTCTCGCGGAGTCCGTCCGGTTGGTCGGTTCAACAATTTTCAACGCGGTTCGATTACATGCGCTCCCTTCACCAAGTGTACCTGTGTCTTTCTCTAATCTTTGTGTCGTCGCTATTTTTTTTCGGCTCAATTCGTGTGTGTTCAAAGTATGTAGTTTTTTCGGGTTTGATTTGCCTGGCCTGGTCTGGACTGGTACCTATCTGGCTCCAAGTGGCCTGGGGTCATCAGGTTCCTCCTGGTTGGTGAGGAGGGGAAAGTCGAGAGAGGAGGGAGACGTGTGCGATGATCAAAAGAGCGAAGGGTGCACCGCTGTGGGGCATGCTCGCTCGTGACAGGCCGGACACTTGTGGTATGAGGAATGAAGGGAGGCTTTGATTGTCTTGCTTCATCGCTCCCTCCTGTTTTTTTTTTCTGGCCCGCTTCCCTAGTCCCCGCGGTGTGTACTTCGTAATAAATAGTACGGAACAGTTTCATTTGTTGAACCGTAGTATCATAGGTGCTACATAGTAGTCGTATGTGTTGCACGCTCGGGATATTAGCGATTAGTTTGTTGAGAGAAGCGCGAGCCCGATGCCATAAGATCTTGCACGCTCGCTGTTGTAGTACAACCGAGAAAAAATGGCTGAACGACGCCAACACGGCTCAGGGTACCCGTGTGCCAAGGGCACTTGTTAGTGGCAGTCACATCATGTGCACCGATGTCTACCCGACCAACAAAGAGTTCGGACCAATTGGCGCATTTGTTGCGGCTGCAGAGAACCAGCGACCCAACCTCGCGCTCGCACACGAAAGACAGCGCGTTAATAGTAGTCTAAGAACGGTGCCCCTGTGTTTACGGTGGGATACGCCGCGATGGAATGTTGCATCATCCATCCTCCCGCTGTCCCTGAATGCCACTTATCATGCGATACGGGTTTAAGGCGGAGAAACGTTACAACAGGTGTTCCAGATCAGGTCTGGTCTGGTCTGGTGTATAGTTCTCTGGGGTTCTGGACGTCCTTCGCCAGGGCGATCATGGTGGCAGTGATGTGCTGCATTTTGTCAGCGGTGCATTCCCTGGGCCCTGGGCTCGAAGAATCCCATCTGAGATCTGTGGACTGAGATCTGTGGTCTGTGGTCTGGTTCCATATGGAAATTTCGGGTTCTGGTCTCTGATGAACTGACGAGAGCGAAACTGGGAAACTGGACTGGATATTACCGGGTTGCTGGGCTGAGGGAAACAGGCGGTACGGGCATGTGATGCGCATGGGTTTATTTTACGAGTTCAATTCATCAATTTTCCAATTCAAATTTCAATTTAGTCCAATTCATAGCTTTCAAATCGTGAGCCTAGCAAGCAGCTTAAAGGAGGCGGCACCGGAGCTGTGGCACCACTCACCGCTCGCCCGTAGGTGCCGCTGCCGAACGTTCCTCTGCCGATGGGTGGGCGGGTTAAGGGCTCAACTTACCCCGGACCTTGCCTGTGATGCCCGCTAAGCTCCTGCCTCCTTGGTACCGCTGCTGCTGAGCATGCTGGCCGCATCCTGCGGTGGAGGCATGTATATGTATAGATATGCTGGTGAAGATATGTACCACCACTGCTTCTGTGCGTGCAACTTTTCCCGTCCTTCTGACGTGTCCGTAGAAGCCTGCTCTATGCTCCCCCGCCACCCGCCCGCCGTCTGTATCTATCCAGCAGGGTTAATGTGGCTTTTGATGCGAGCGTCGATCGATGGCATGTTGTTTTTCTTATTTCCAGGAAACAGAAACAGACGGCGATCGGTAACTTGTGTTTGGTGTTCCTCGCCGCCGCAGTCTCCATCCGTTTCGCGCTGTCAGCTTTCTGATGCCCTCCGCGGTGTCTCCCGATTGATTCAGTCAGATCCCTCGCACATCGACGGGCAGTCCGCCGCAAGTCGTGCTGTTGTGGCTGCCTTGGGGTGAATGGCCTCCTCCGTCCAATCGATTGCGACTCCACAAACGTCAAGCCGACTGGCTGCGTGTAGGCGCGTCGAAACGGCCGCCGATCATCACATATACTGTTGTACTTGACAAGAAAACCAAGTACTTGAAGGACAGTAAGGTCTGGCGGCCTGACCCACTGGCGATGAATGGCTGCCCACCAACCTCCCGCCCGCTGGGATGAAGCCCAGCGCTCTATTGGTGGACGCCGCGGATGACGCCGAGGGAGATCCTGGGGTCAACAGAGACTGGCGCACACCAAACTTCGGGCTTGTGACACCCACTTGGTTGAACGAGGAGAAATTGGAGCGCCCACCCTACCCATCCCTATCATCATCCTGCAAGGAAAAAATGATGTCCCCGAATGCCCTGCGGCACAAAGCCAAATGGGGTTTCACGGTTCTCCTGGAGATGATGGCACTGGACGTGTTTGTATCACTTCAGACAATCAGACGTACGTATGTATCCGCTCCTGCCAAGCATGCAAACATGGCCTCAGAGAGCATGAATGAGACGGGATGATGAGGACTGACGTTCCTCCTTCTGATTTGCAGTTCTGTAGTACGGAAACCCCAACGCGGTGCGGATACAGAGCTATGTGTAGTCTGGACATCCTTGCAGATTATTGGGGGGCGGAAGAGGAGTGAAACTTTCTTTGAATGGGAAGCACGCATCATTTTCTGTTTCCTTGCATCGCAGGGGAGACGTCGAAACATTTTTTTTTCGTGAAGACAGGACTCTTCATGTTGGGGCTTGGATGTATCCGGAGATGATGATGGTATCTCGTTGTTTTTCCCGACCGGGGGGACTCTCTACTCCCAAACACTTTTCACCCTGTCACAGGGGGCTTGGTCGCTCGGCCTCCCCCCTCACGCCTGGGAGGCCGCGCCTGGGGGATCAGCTGAGGGCATAGACTGGGGGATCAGCACAAGTCGAATGGGCAGCTGTCAGCTGCTTTGTGTTGGCCCAAAATCTTTTCGGGTGGCTGAGAACGAAGATACGGGATGTGCTTGGTATACTGTAGACAGGTCAACTTTGGTCTCACGACGTGTCGCACTCTCGAACAGGCTGGGTGCGTTACAGCACGGGACCTCCGAGCGTACCCTACCTACTTGCTGCGGGAGTTTTTTTGCTCACATAAAAGGCTAGACTAGTTGTCTTTGATTTTCGGTTTCAATCAACGCGCAACGCCTCCACCTGAAGCTAGAACAAGTGTTTCTCTTCACTTACTACTTCTTGGGAGGACGGCAGGTTTTGGTTGGTTGACGAACATCTGGGTGTGCGCACGTACGCACCCAACCGTGTTGGGTCGTGGAGCACTACTACTGCATAAGCATACCCGAATGTGCGTTTCGGTTGTCGTCACGCTTGTGTCGTTTGCTCCGAGGACCAAAACCCACCGAATTCACGCATGCATAGATTAGATGAGTACGGAACGCGCCGTTCAGGTGTTTCCAAACCTGAAATGCAAGCTACCGGAGCTATCTATGTAAGTCGAGCTCTTTTTGTTGGTGATGCTTGCAGTTAGATCGTCAACACGCCATCAGGTTGAAGGGAGGACGACTGAACCCTCCTCGCGTACTACCACATACAGAGGTTGCCTGCGCATGACCCCGGATTGGTGCTCTTCAAGAAGAACTGAAGCAACACCAGACGGTACTGGCGTGCCGAGCGGCGGAGAAATACTGACATGAAAAGAAAATATAACAGGGGCTCGCACCTCGTGATTCGAAAGTCATGCGTAGTGCGGTGTCACTTTTTTGCGCACGCAGAAGTGGGCGTTCGCAGGGCTCAATAGCCAAGGAGTGCAGTCACGGAAGAGGCACCTCCTTACGGGCTTGTTTGGGTGCGAAAAACTATTGCTTGTGCCGTGTAGCTGTGCACCTCGGCACAACCAGCATACATACGGCGGAGGCGGAGCAAGCACCATACGCCGGCTGACAAACTGGAAGCCAAGTCTTCCGTTCATCTAATCACACAACCGCAACTGAGCTCACCGACAACACCTTTGTTTACCGCACGCTTCAGGTCTCGACAGTGAAAAGTGGCTCCATGAAGGCCCAGCTAAGTTTACCGTACCCTGCAGCCCGTATCTATGCACAAAACGAAAATCGAATTTTAAGTCTCCAGTAGCTGTGCCCACGTACCCATGACTCATCTCGCCATGAGGAACTGCGTGGAATCATGGCGGAAAACTCCTCAAGTGCATACGCAAATTGCTCGTGAGCCCACCCAGATGCAACCGCCACTACTGAGACAGCAGGCGGAAAAATGATTACCCTTGACACCATGCTCTCCGCCCCAACACCACAGAGTGCCCGTACACTTTTGGCCTATATCCTCCCTGGTTTTCCAGGTGCAGTCCTCTCCTTCGCCAAGCGGGAGTGATTACGTCTCACGCGCCGCAACAGATATAAAACCACCCGAAGAGCTATATCGCGCTGGAGGGAAAACATAGGCGTGTAGGATCCATGAGTGGCAATCGATCGAAGGCGCTTGCTTCAACCAAGATATTAAGCGCCAGTTCGCTACACAAGAGTAGTTCGAAGCTGTTCTTACGTCATACCAAGCTCAATGCAACGGAACACGTGGGCGCCACAAGAAAAACGAAGCTAGCGCTGTAGATACAGGTAGCTTTAGACGGAAGACGGCGGGAGTCCAAGCATCTTCATGAGCAGGTCATCGCGTTCCTTGGTGTACTCCTTCACCAGGTCCTGCAGCAGCACGTCCAGAGGGTTGCAAGAGAAAAAAGGGGTTGTGAACGACAGAGAAAGGCCTGTGTATTCAACGACGATTGATTGCGGTACCTAGTACATCGGGACTTGAACCGCAAGTAGGAGGTGCCGCACAACGAAGATAAAACATGGTTTCAAACACACGTAGGAGCTCGTCACGAGGCGTAGCACCCATGATGGGTGCACGGACGACGAGAATTAAGTCGCTAGACAAAGAGAGCGCAACAAACGCAACGACATATGCTTGCGCCGCGCCGCACGTGCCGTCACTTCCTTAACTTGGCCGAATACGAAACTAGAACCGCCTCGACTTGAACAGCAACAAACAACTTCAGACTACGAATAGACACGGGGACTCAAAAGGAAGGGAATCATAAATAGCAAGGAAATCACTGCAAATGAAAGAAGAGACGTCGGACAAGAAGAGGCCAAAAAACACACCGGGAAAGAGTGATCACAAAAAAGATGTTTTTTGTCGACTTGCCTTGACGGAGATGAGGCCGAAGACTTCGCCCGTGTCGTCGTCGATGACGGGCAGGTGGCGCACGTCAGCGGCGATCATCTTCTTCACGCACGCCTCGATCGTGTCCGAACGTGCCGCAGCCACCATCTTGGGGCCCCGGGTGCAAATCTCCTTAACCTGGACCCCGCACGTGCAAAAAAAAATAACACGACAATGACCACTCCTGTTGCTGCTGTTGGTGTCGCCTACTCGAGCATGCTTGGATAAAAATGTCATGTTGAAAATCAAGGTATGCAACGAAAATGGTGTTTGCGTTGGCATGCCACCACGTTTACCGCCACCGACGACGGGGCCACACAAAAAAAACACACGCGACGGGAGCGACGAAACTTCTGCTGCCACGGATCCCTCAACAATGAGAAACCCCACAATTTCTCTTGCCAAACAAACCAAACATTCCAAAGGTATGACGTGAGATGTCTGCGGGAAATTCCCCACCTGTCACGACCATCCCGACGCGGCCTTACGCTGTCTATCTTAAGCTATCTACCCCCGATGCTGATCGAAAGATTGGCTGTCGACGGCACAGCAGTCTCTGCATGCGGTTGACTTTCGGCGTGCTATTGTAGCGCTTGTGTCTTACCGTGGTGTCCTTGGAAGCCTTGCCCAGCAGAGCGATCTTGCAGACGTAGTCGCGCTCTGAGATGATGCCAGACACCTTAATAAATTCAAGCGCATCCGACGCACACGCACAAGTGTTCCTATAAGACTCGTAGAACCTTTGCCAGGTTCGCTACCACACGAATCCTTGCCACGCAGGAACTTTCCAGGACAACGGTTGGAACTAGAAAAGCAGGCGCGGAAACTCCCCTGGCTGATGTGTGTCCACCCGTTCAACGCCATCTGTAGACTCCAGGAGGGTGAGGGAATACTGCAATACAACAGCAGTTGGGGGTGCATATCAGGACACACTTCGGATTGTCGAGAGGGTCCATCCAAGCTCTCCCGTCTACGTTGAGAATGACAATGATGCAGACTGCAGGGGCCAGAAAAACCACCTAAGCAAGAACCACACAGAGCATTAACAACAACCCGAGACCCAGTGGGATGGCACGATACGAATCGAATTGGTGTGTAAAAACTCCAACGAAGGCTTTGAGTTATTGATGCGATGAGTTTAACACGGGTTTTCAAACGCACTGCTTGCTGCGGTTCTTTTCGCACCGGACATCCCAGTCAAGGTAAAATTAGAATCAATGCAACAACTCGAAAGTGTCTCTGTGGAGACTCGCGAAACAGGACGAAGAAGCACAACAACTACGCTAAGAAAGTTACGATCAAGGCAGGGAACGACAATCCGAAAGCATTATTAATAGCTGTACAGTCCAACGCTTTGATGACTCCGTGAGTCCTTCCGACGCAGGCTTACCACCCCGTTCTTCGTGACGATGAGGCAGCCGACGTTGTAGGCCGACATTCTGCTGATGGCGTCGTAGACCGTGGAGGCCTCGTCGATCTTGTAGTCGATGTTGAAGTAGCACGACTTCTCCCACGCGTGCTGCGCCGTGCGCACATCTGGTTATCAATGGGCGTCCAAGAGCCATGACAATGACAGGGAAGGAGGGCAGCGACGGCGGCGTTGGCAAAAAATTGGCGTAGGGAACATCCACCGTCGTCCGTGATCACGTAGCAGTATACTCCGAGGAGTACTATGCATACAACCGGTTTTCTGCATGCAAGATGCTTGTTAACTCGGGCATCGTGGTGGTTGTTGCCAGGCCCGTACTAGCAGAGGGTTTTTCGCCGTGAGTACGCTTGAGCGGGCGTCCATCTGCTCACTGCAACCGATGCAACCACACGCAATACAAGACTGGTCATCCACGAGATGTTAATGGAAGTGGCCCAAGCCAGGGAGAGAGAACGCGACACGATATAGAAAGCTTTACACGTAAATATTGCGTAATTTTTCATATTTTTCATATCATTGAGGACGTCTCGCCTTAGACCTACAGAGCATTGGGTCCTAGAACAACTAACGTGGTGTCAACAAGCCATCGCATCCCTCTGATCGTGAAATCGTGACGCGGCCACCTCAAGTACTTGATCCGCAGTGGGATGGTACCCCCCGCACAAAGAGCCCGCCCCCCCTCACAACAGGAATCGACAAAAGGTGCAACAGCATCGGAGGCAATCCAGACGATAAATACATTTGCGTGACACCCGAGCACTGATCGGCTTTCGGGTCCCCCAGCTCGCCGGGAACACTCGCGCAACGATGCGTGTATCTATGCACATGTGCTTACAGCCTCCTACCAGTAAACGGCAGCTACACGCCGAAAGAGCAAAAATTCGAGGCTACGCAGCATTTGTACATAGACTACATATGTAGGAGAGCATAATATTCCGGCAACTTGGTTGACATGTGTCTCCTGCGGGGATATCGCTGCAACACGTGCCCGCCGAGCGTACGCCCACGCCATGCTGCCGCCTCTCGGCCGTGTAGTAGCGCGGTGCTCTCCGGCCGGGAAACCCACCCCAGCACCTACCCGGCTGTTGCACCGCCTTTTCGTGTGAAGCATGGCGGCACTTTGCTTGCATGTATGTGTGCCTTAGGAGAAAAGAGAGAGATGAAAAATATCACACAAACGTGGTGTCAAGAAAACGAGGGCTCACCATCGGCAGCAGGCGCGGCAGCGTCGCTGAAACTCCGCACTTCCCTGCCCAGACACGCGGACGCCGCTCGCACCCCTTGCGCAGTGGCGGTAGCTCTTGCTGCCGCAGGGACCTGCTGTGCTGGTGCTCCTGCCGCCACCTTCAACGACGCTCGTCCCCCAACCGCTCTCACGACGTTGCGGATCATGGTGATAGTTTTCCGCTGCCGCGAGAAGCACAGTAAGGGTAGATCGTTATTAAAGGGTCTTGTCCAAGACTCTTGGGGCGCCGGAGGTGTTGTTGTCTGTTGAGGTCTCGGCAGCAGGGAGCGCGAAGCGTGCGTGTGAGTGGGGTGTTGTTGCCGGAAAATGGAGTGTTTGGTGCAAAGCCGTACCATGATGGAAGAACCACGAACACCGTACCTTGGAAACCAACAGCGCAAGCTAGGCACTACGGAAAAGAGAAGAACAAGCGCACTCACATAGGGGGAAGGTCTGGCTGATCGGTACGCTTCGTTGGAGACGTATACCAGATACTGAGAAGGCAACCTCGCACACGAACGCCCAGCTGCTGATAGGAACAGGGAGAGTACGCACCCGGCATGCCCCCCCCCCCATTTTTCATGTTCGCGGAACCCCTCCGCTGCTGTACAGCTGTGTGTACAAGCAAGTCGAAGCGTGTTGCGACAGGCACACACACAAAGCTCGTGACACCGCTGTGCTGGCTGGCAGTGGCGATGGCGATGCCGGCGTCTTGCCCTGTGCTTGAGTTTGTGGACGATCAGAGCGATAGTATCGTCACGGACTTGGCGTACGACTACCACGGCAGACGACTAGCCTCGGTGTCGGCAGACGGTGTGATTCGAATACGGGATCTCGACGACAACGGCGTCTGGTGCGTCGAAGAAGGCTGCGAGATCAAGCCGGCGCATCAGGTGATGAGGAGACCCGACGCGGTTGTACGTACACACACGTTGGGCTTTGCAGCTCCCAAAAGAGTGGTTGTTGTTGCACACAGAGAATTAGAGTCGGGATATTGGACGAAGATCATCACGCGACTCTTCCCGCACACAGCGGCTATTGGAACATGTTGACATGTTCATGCTTTCCCGCCGACGGCATCGGTCCTCCTCCTCCTCCTCCTCCTCCTCCCCCTCCCAGTATTGTAGTCAGTGGGTGCGCGGTGTGTGTGCCGGGATCGTGGTGGAGAAGGACGGACTGCTGCACTGTACCATTGCACGCATGCTTTTGAGTACAGCACGGTAGTCGCCCAGCGGAATAACCGAATCATCGCATGTTCGCCAAAGGTGGTACAGCACATAATGAAGGGAACCAAGCGATGGCTGGATGCCCCTATTTACAAGCGTATTACTTATCAAGTATACCGCGGCCGTGTAATCATCAAAGCGTTGCCTGGCTGTCGAGTACCACTCTCCATGCTTTCCTGGACGTACTTCACATTTGTTCGTCACGCCTCTGCTCAAACTGGCTCACAAAGTGCTGATGTCATCCAACACTTGAGATCCAGCCCCCCCCCCTGGTTCATGTAGTCTACATAGCTTACGGTCGGCGTGGAGGCACAAGACACAGGCTATTGTAAAGGTGAAATACTCAAACATCAAATACTTGTTGGCAATTTAATTCTAACTCTCAAACTGTATAGCTTTTCATGTTTCATTTCTGTCGGCCGGATGACGATTTAGGGTGCAGCAACACCGACGGCAGCCTTCGTAGAGTCCGCCGCGCCAGAACGTGCCTTGTACCAAACTGTGTGCCTGGTGATATATTTTTGTTTGTTCGCCTGTGTCGCCGCCGGCTATGTAGTCATTACACCCCATGTCTTCTGTCTCCACCTTTCGAATCGTGTCGCACCAATTGGCGTGTTGATCACGACTGACCTGGACGCGTGAACCCGTGTCGGCGTATGCGTTGTTGTTGGATCAATCGACAGGGTACCCTTTGGAAGGTGGATTGGGCGCATCCCGGCTTCGGGAAGCAGCTTCTGGCGACGTGCTCGCAGGATAGAACCGTCAAGATATGGGTGGGTGGCTCTGCGGTTGGGAACGATGCGGGACTATCACTGTGCTTAACCGTCGGACCGGGTCAGAATCCACCCACCCGTTCGGATGAAAGCGGCACGCTCTTTGGGCTCGGAGGGACAGACACCCCCCGGTGCAGCTCTTTGGGCTGTGCTGACTGCCGCTGTTTGTGTTTTCTAGTCGTGTTAAAGTTGGGGTGGAACAAGCCTCGAATAGAGCTAAGACGTGGCGACGACTGTACTCCGCCGTAAATCCGAACGTGAGGCTCAAGCTATGTATGGATTCCTTGGGGGGAGAGGGGGGGGATGCACGCTGCTGCTTCAATCTGTGCATGCCCGCAATGACGCGCTGCTCTTGTTCCCCGGTTTGTCAGCGCCGGCTGTTGTCTTGGCCATGGGCTAACCATGACCCGAAAAAAATCAACCAAAAAATCACAACACAGGAGGAACACAGCGAGGCTGCCCCCGGGCAAGAGCGAAGCGGGATCGGGCTGTCGAGAGGGGCGCCGGCGCGCTGGATAGTCGCGACCACCCTGAAGGACAGCCGCTACGGCGTCGTGGACGTCAAGTTCGCGCCGCGTCACCTGGGCTTGAGGATAGCGTCCGCCTCTGAGGATGGGTAAGACTGAGAGAGAGAGAGAGAGAGAGAGAGAGAGAGAGAGAGAGAGAGAGAGAGAGAGAGATGGGAGGGTTGGGCAAGGCTCGGCGAGGTTGGTGGGGCGCGACCAGTGAGGAACAGCGTCAGGGACGAGAGAGTGATCTATTGTACTGTATATAGTAAATAGTTCGCGTGAATGGAGAGGTGAGTTGGTATGGGGTGGCGACGAAAGATAAGCTGGAGGGGGGATGGCCGCGTTCCTTTCTCCTAACCGTCTCGAGATAAGCCCACGTTATTGTAAACGAAGCCGTCGGGAGGCATTGTCCCGAAGAAAAACCATAATCAGAAACTGTCGCATGCCCACCCGCGAGAGGGAACTCTGCAGCCTACCTCGAGTGACCAAATATTTATGTCTTTTATTTTGCGAAGGGCAGTTCTCGAGTGAAAGCAAGAATTATTTTGTCCCCGCCATAGGGAGCTACCCGAGACTCCGAACCCCGCTAACGAGCGCACGCAGCGAACGCGAAGGTGAAGCAGTTTGACCTTACGCAGGCACCTACCCCCTCCCCTACCCCCTCCCCGTTCTGTCACCCTCCGCCCGCCGTTCCCCTTCGTTGTTCGCCGCATCGCGATGATGTCGGCCGGGACGACACAAGGCACGTGCGGGTGTACAAGGCCACCGACCTGTCTTCGGTCAGCGGTTGGAAGATGGCGCCTTGGTCCTTCGTGCCGTGTCCCGATGGCCTGGGAGTGACGTGCATCTCGTGGTGCAGCTCGCCCTTCCTGAAGCCGCTGTTGGTGGTGGGCACCATGTCGGGTTTAGTTCAGGTACTACCAGGGAGTGCTGTCCCCCGAAACGCATGACAAACTTTTCTTCAAGAATAGGACACGCCTGCTCCGACCACAGGAGGGGTCCCCTGATGTTGGAGCTAGGAAACGTAAAAAACCGTGTCTGTTCATCCCAGTAGCGGGAACGATTCGTATCATCGAGTTCTCTAAACTGCCATGATTTCTGCACTCAGTTTTTGCATGCGATCGATCCTCTGCCAACGCTTTGATTCCCGTGTGTTGCTGCGAGAGTTTCGAACGATTCGGTTCAGTTTTTCTCAGAATTTTCCTGTCTGACTGTCGCCCTGCAGCTGCAGCTGTCGAGCTTGTAGCGTGCACTGCACACCTTGCATGACTCTAAGAAGTCTACGTATATTGTGACGGCGAAGCACTTTTGGACCTGGCGTGTGCGGTGTAGCTCGATTTTGGTCCACAATCACAGGCACAGGAGTCGTAGTTTTGCGCAGGTGTGTCGCGAAGAACGACAGGTTTAAAACCGCATTCCTTTTTGTTTTTTTTCTCTTTGTAGCGGTAGCCTAGTGGCCAGGGTCAGGGGTTCGAATCCCGGCGTAAGCGAGCTTTTCTTACAAAGTGAGTTTTCTCTCGCTTGCGTTCCTGGCCTGGGTGGAAAGCGCTATAATACATAGTTCGTGTGTACACAGAGGGAAGAGAGTGATGTACTCTTATCGCATTAAAAATCGAAGGCAAGCACTCTACCGCAGGAGGGGTGGGTAGGGGGAAACCCTTCTGTGTGACCACGGGTCGGAGCAAACGGCACAAATGTTGTGGGCACTGATTTGAAGTGAAGTCCAAAAATAAAAACGTAATGCGAGACTAGCCGATTTGGCTCTCAGCCTTTGGGGTGTGTCGGCATCACCGAGCGGTTGGAAACCGCAACTTTTGCTCTTTAGGTTCACATTGAAACGCCAATCCTAATGAAAGTATTATCATCTCTCCGTGAGTTATTGGTTGATTTTACGTCCGCTTCCGGCTTCTGATTTTTGCATTCCTTTCCTTACCCTCCCTCCCCCCCCCCCCCCCTTCCTCCCTCGCTACTCACCTCCTTCTTTGTGGCGCGACGGCAGATCTGGCTCAGCGACGGCACTACGGAGGAGCTGGGGAAGTGGTCCAAGGTGCTCGACCTGCCCGTGAGTATGCGGTTCGCTGTCATGCGACCTCGAAGGTTTCATCTAGTCTGTGCCGGAAAGATGAGGAGTGCCGTCGTTGGAGGCCTTTTTCCGTAGGGGAACACGACCATTCGTACCCGGATTATATTGCAAGGGTTGTTGTCAATGATTCGGCGCTGGACGTTGATTTCCCGTTGTCCGGCGTGCCCGCGTGCAAGATGCTGCTGTACATGTTAATGTACGCGATGAAGGAAGTGTTGTCCGTGGCGTGCTCGACCTCAACTCTCCATTGTAGCAGGTGCCACAGCTGAGCGTTTTCCGTGTGTTGTTACTGAAGTACAGTGAAGAGTAAACAAGACAAGGGTAGGCCGCGGGCCGGGCCTCTTATTTATTTGTTGGTTTCCTTCTCTCTCCTGGCTATTTTATTAGCCTGCTGGTTGGCAGGTTACACAGCTGCCAGGTGGCACAAATGTTCTGTTTTTTAGCTTGGCTGGGCGAGGCAAGGCTATGTACGGGCTTGCCGCGAGGCGTGTTTGCACTCTCTGAGGGCGATCTTACCTTGCCGGCCGGTCGTCCTTCATCTCTCCTCCGCTTGTTCAAATGTTGTTGTATTTCGCGTTGTAATGGCGGTCAGCAGGGGACGGGCGCCTCAGAATCATGCCAGGATTTCACGAGACTCCAGAGCACCGCAGTCACTGCGACACAACACGAAACGAACAGACGACACGTGCACAGCAGTACTCAGTATATGTTTCTGACTGCTCCAGTGAATGCCTTCTCCACGCATTTCCTCTGTATTTTTTCGGGGCGCGCTCGGCGGGCGGGGGGGGGGGGGGGGGGGGGTTGGGAAAAACCCTAAGAAAAAACAAAGAAAAAATGGTTATCGAAAAAAA